TAAACTTTCAGCAATCTGACTTCAGACTTTATAATTTAAATGAAAGTGTCCTCTCTAAAATTAGTAATTGCTAAATCTAATGGACTTTTCTTAGTCCCCATCCTCCTTGATCTCTTCAGCCTGTGACACTGTTGATTACTGTCTGTTCCCTAGGTTTTTGTGACATTACTCTTCCCTGATCCATCCCTCTGTCCATCCATTTCTTCTCATCTCCTTTGCTGATTCTTAATCCATATCTGCATACTAATTGTAGATGTCCATCAAGGTTCTGTCCTGACCTCCTTCTCTTGTCATTGTGTACTATCTTACTTGCTAATCTTACCAGTTCCCATGGGTTCAGGAATTATTTCTCTGTAGATAATTTCCAGATCTATATGTATTCAGCTTTAGTATCTCTGCTGCACTGTACATCCATCTCTAATTTCCTCTTGTTGAACTGGATGTTTTGTAGCATCTCAAACTCAAAATGTCCAAAACAGAATTCATATTTCCTGTACCCCCTCTTCCCAGTTCTTATTTCTAATGCCCTTATTACTATTGAGAGTACCACCCTTCCTCCAGTCACCCAGGCCTGTGATCTCTGTTTCATCCTTAACTCCCCACTCTCACCTCATGTATCCATTCTGTTTCCAAATCAGTATCTACCTCAGTATCTCTCTTAATACATTCCCTTCTTTCTACTCATATGGCCTTAAGTCTAGCTAGTTCAGCCTCTTAGCACTTCACCTCGATTACTGCAATAGCCTTCTTTTTGGTCCCTCTGCTTCAAGTTTCTTCTATATGCTAATCCGTCCTGCATTCAGCTGCCAAGGTAATTTTTCTAAAGTGTAGATCTGCCTACATTAATGCTACTTCCCTAATAAGCTCCAATAGCTTCCCTATCTTATTTCCAGGATCAAATATAAACTTCTCCGTTTGTCCTTTAAACCTTTCATAACTTGACCCTTTTCTGCATTTCCAGTTTTATACCTTATTTTACTCCATACACTCTACAGTTGAGCTATACTGGTCTATTTACAGTTCTTTGAATGGGATACTTCCTTTCCTACTTAAGTGCTTTTTCACTAATTCCCCACCAAGCTTGGAGTGATCTGCTTCTTCACTAATGCCTCTTAGTTTCTCAGGCTTCTTTCAATATTCATCTCAAAACCCATCTTCTTTCACAGACCTTTTGTAGTCTCTCCCTACTCCCCCCCCATCCCTAATTGCTAACAGTTCTTCTCCTTTCCAGTTACCTTGAAACTACTTGTATTTATCTTCTGTGTACCTGGTTATTTTTATATCTTCCCCATATGTACTCCTTGAGGGCAAGGAATACATTTTACTTTGTATTTCCAGTGTTTAATACATTCCTTGAAACATGCTTTAAAAATGCTTGTTAACTGATTGATCTTACCTGGGTCCAGCCTTTTCATCAAGAATATATCAAAGTCTTCTCTTGTATTAAAGGTCCATTTCTTTCCCTGGAGAATTATATTCAGCTCTGCAGGGATAAATTATTTTTGTTTGTAAGTTTTTATTTCCTTGTATTTTTGAGTATTCCAAACTGTTCCCTCTTTTGTTGTAATTACACTATAGTATGATCTTCTTGCCTGTCATTCTTTGGTATTTGAACTCCATAGCTGCTTGCAATATTTTTCTTTAGCCTAGAAACTCTGAAAATTTGGAGTAATGACTTTTCTGGGGTCTTCAGTTTGAGGTTTCTCTCAAGAAGTAACCAGTGGGATTCTTTTAATTTTCTCTTTGCTCTCAGGGTTCTAATAGTCCTGGACAGTTTTATTTCCTTTGAAATATGGTTATCTGTGTTTTTTGTTTAAACACACAATTCAGGGATCCTGGTGATTCTTAAATTATTTGTCATCCTGTTTTCCAGGTAAGTTTTTATAGTGGATATTTTATATGTGCTTATAATTTTCCAGTCTTTTGACTTTCTCCTAATATTTTTTGATGTTTCATTGAATCATTGAGGTCTGTTTCCTCTATTATATTTTTTCAAATGTATCCACTTTTTGAGGGGTTTTGTACTTTCTGTTTCCATCTGTTTATCTTTCCTCAAGATCTATAATTATATTTTTTTATTTCTTCCTTTAGGTCTTTCATCCATTCTTGGAGTTGTTTTGGCCAGTTCATTCTTTTTTTTTCTCCTGAGGTTCTATGCCAGATTCTACCCTTTCATAGATACTTGGATGGAATTACTAGGTATATGCCCTTCATACAATGGGATGGTTCAGTCCTTGTCCCTTCCCTGCCATCTTAATTCCTTGCTTCTACCTATGTCTGATCTTGGGCTGACATAAGCACAGGCCTGTTCCTTGTATCTATCTCTCATCTTCTCCTCAGTTAACTTTATTCCTTCTAATCATTAATCTTTTTAGCTTCAGGCCTCCTGGAGGTCCTCCAGGCATAGGCTGCCCAGGTGCCTTAGTCCTTTTATCTTCTTTCACAGTCTCCTTCTGGGAGCTGTCTTTGTCGCTTGGTGACAGAGTTTCAGGTCTCCCAAAGCAGAGATTGCATTGATTTCAGCTTCCTAGAGGGTCTCAAGTTGGAGTCAGTTTCCTTCGCCTTTCCACCTCCTTGTGAAGTCACCTACTGAGAATTAAATTTGTTTTCTGTTGTGTAGCTCCATGTCAGGACCCACAGTTTTACTGGATTCAGTCTCTCTTAAGGACCCTAAAAATGAACAGCAGGATTCTGGTTATTGCCTTATGCAGTCCTGACCTGGATAGGCAGGCTAGTTTTGTCTCCGGTTTTATTGAATCTTTTCTTCCTTTGGCACTCTTTTTCATCTTTGTTGTGTTACTCTGGATTCTTGGACTTGACTGGTACATTTCAGGTCACTATCTTTGTTAGTTGTAATTGTTTTTACTTCATAATATGGTTGATGAAGAACTTGTACTAGGAATAGGAAAAATGTCAGCTCTACCACTTTCTTGTTCTTAGTGCTCACACTAATAGAATTATCTTCAACTCATGCTCTCTGTGTGGGAATCTTTTTAAACCACATGTCCATTTTATTAGGATTAATTTTGTTAAAGCTGTATAATATAATCTATAAATACATTTAACTGGGTGCATGTAAACTGAAGTATGTTGGAGTATATTAAAAACAGATGAAGGAATGAAGGTGCTACTGTCAGCTCTTCTTGTTTGTGGAACCCCCATGTTGCCTCAGCTCTATAGACTGAACTGCATGGTTACTGAACTCCCAAGTATCAAATTCTTGATTCCATAATTTGATGGTTTATAAGGGCTGGATACTTCTTAAGCCATGTATAATGTGTGATTGTCACGGACATATTGAAGGCACCATTATTAATTCATAGATCATAAATTTACACTTGAAAGAACATTAGTCAATTAGTCTAACACGTTCATTTTGCAGATGAGGAATTGAGGAAAATAATTTACTATAATGTATATTTTCTCTTTTATTAGAAGTGCAAGGAGGACTAGAAAGTTCTGTTGGTTAGTAATGGGGAAAATCTCTACAGGCTGCCATTTGGACTTCCCTATAGTCTTTATCAATAACTTTATGTACTTATTGTTGGTTGGACACCCATTTGTCATTTGTTGATTGATTTTGTGAATTCCTATGTTTATTCCAAGGCCTAGGGATTACTAAAGAACTGTAGTATCATCAGATGTTAATTCTTGAAGAGACTTTATAAACCATCAAGTCTTGGAATCACAGAATTTGACACTTGGAAGGGATTTCAGTAGCCAGGGAGTTCAGCTCATACGCTGCAGGATATACCTGAAAAGTTGTCATCAAGCCTTTGCTCAAAGACCTACAAGGTGCGAGGAGTCAACCACCTCTGGAGGCAATCAGTTCTACTTTTTGTTCTAATTGTTAAAAGTTTTTCCTGACTGCGAGCCTAAATTTGCCTCTTGTAATTTCTAGACATTCTCCTTGTTTTGACCTCTAGGGCCAACTAGAACATTCGCAATCCCTTCTCTATATCACTATTCATGAAAGATTTGAAGGCAGTCCTGAGTCTTCTCTTAATCAAGTTCAGCATACCCAGTTCCTTCAACTGATTTTTATTTAACATGAGTGCAAGGTCTTTTACTATCTTGGATGCCATTTCCTATTGCATTCTTTACCTTATTAAAACTGTGGCATCCAGAACTGAACATAGTAATTCAAATGAGGTCTGATAAAGCCAGAGTACAGTGGGAATATTACCTCCCTGCTCCTGGAAGTGATGACTCTTAATATGGCTCCAAATTGTATTAGTTTTGTTGGTTGCCACATCATGCTGCCAACTCGTATTGAATTTGCATTCTGCTAACCCCTAAATCTTCAGACCAACTACTATCTAGTTGTGCCTCTCCTTTCTTGTACATATTAAGGAGTACAGCCTCCTCATTTTGTAGGTAAGGAAACTAGGATACAGAAAGATTGAGAGACTAGCCCAAGGTCATGCAATGAGTTAGGAGAATCAGAGGTAGGACTAAAATGCAGTTTTCTTGACACTACATCGAGTATTATATCATGGTGCATCCTTAATTGTGGACCTCCCTTTTATTAGCTGTTGATGTCAGGAGCTAACTAATTATTCTTAGGGGGGAATTCATATCCTTGAGTGTGATAATTCAGGTAGGCAAGTATTCTGACTCTGACCATTATACTATGTATATATTTTTTAAGTTTAAGGATTGATAGTATTAAAATACAAGGGTGTTAAATCTTACTTATAAATGAAATTTCCCAACCACATATGGAAAATTTGCATATGTTTATGAAGTTCGTGTAATTCCACATCCGTTGCCTACAAGTTAGATCTGGGTAAAGATTTATAAGATTATGCTTTTTTAGTAATGTCATGATTAAAACAAATTTCTAGTACAGGAATAGAATTTCCCATAGAATTGTTGTGATGGAACCTATCATCAAGTTTAGTAGATTTAATAAATATTTTTATTTAATATTTTTAGTGGTGAATGATTTATTTTTTTATTCAGTTTTCTGACTTTTAAAAAAATTTGTTTTTCTTAAGAACAAGGACCAGTTACTTCAAGATGAAATTACCTCCTCCGTGTCTCAACTTGCCACGAAGGTAGGTATTTGCATATTTGTTTTCCCTTTTCACATGATGTTTCTTATATAGGTCTTTATTTTTAATTATACTTTGAGTGTAGTTCAGTCTCATACTGAGACAAATTGATTATCTCTGTTTATAGAGCAATTTACTTACACTTTTTAAATTTAGCACAAATGGAGAAAACAGTGATCAAAGTACAGTAGAAGGAAAAAGATATATTTTTCAAGTATCAAAGCACATTGTAATCATTCTACTTCATGTGTCTAGTAATGGGTAAATGTGAATGTACTTAATCAACATCTTATTTTTTCTAATTAATAAAATCAATACTGAAAGGTGAATAATTTGCTCTAATTCAAGCAAAAATTCCTACTCGCTTTTAGACAACCCCCTAACAATATTTTTTGTTTTTGTTATGTTTACACATGTGAAGTAAAACTGGAAATTGCAGCAGTTTCTGGGCAATTAAAACAAAAATGAAATAACTTTTCCTTGAAAGTAAAGTAGAAGTGGTCCTTTTTTTAAAAGACTTGAATTAGCTGAGAATTGTCTCAATTCTCCACTTCATTGTTCAATATTGCTTTAATAATAATGTCTGAAGTACTTTTGGTTCTAAAATAGTTTGATTTCTTTTATATTGTCTTTATATATATAGCCCATTATCTATCAGTAGGAGTTTGCTAGAGGACAAGAGAATATGGCAGCAATTTGGTTTAGGGAGAGACAGTGTGGTTTAGGGCAAAGAGTACTGGTGTTGAACACAAGACAGAGATTCAAATCCCAGCTTGGATGCTTACTGGCACCATGTCTCCAGGAGAGTCAGTTAACCTCTGTCAGCCTCTGTCTCTTATTCTGTAAATTGGAGTTAATAATACTTATGCTTTGATATAGGGTTTTTATGAGGAAAGCATTTTGCACACTTCAAAGCATCATCTAAGAATGATATATTATTATGTAGCTATTATAATTTTAATAAAGACCTTAGAGTGTAATCGTAGTTTTTAGTAGTATCAGAGCCTTTGGGGTCCATAGGGTTTATAGATAAAAGGGACCTTAAAATAATATAGTCCAGGCCGCTTTATTTTACATAAGAGTAAAATATCCTAGTCAAGTAACTTGTCTTAAGCTCTAGTTAATGGGAGAACTAGTTTTAAAATCTAGATTGGGAGGGAGTGCTAGTCATAAAATTTGGATCACCTAATTCCCTGGGCCTCATTTTCTTCTATAATTATTCATTTTATATTGAGGCTGCATAAATTTATATATGTACTCTTGTCTTCTCCATTAGAATGTAAACTTCATAGTGATTGTTTTGTATTTTGTATACCCAGCACCTAGTAGAGTGCCTAGTACATGGTAGATACTTAACAGATGTTTGTTGAAGTATTTGAGTATCTACTATGTGTCAGGCATTGTGCTAAGTAGTTGATGGCGTTACAAAGACATAAAATTACAGTCTCTGTCTTTAAAGAGCTTACATTCAATTAGGGAGACATGTATATATAAAATTATGCAAAATAAATAACAAGGTAATATTGTGGGTGCTAGTGGGCATTAGTACTAGACGATCAGGGAAGTCTTAAGGGTTTCTGGAGCTAGATTTGAAAGGAAACAAGGGATTTTCAGATTAGGATTAGAGGATTTTTAAGAATATATCTGGGTCTTAAAATGCCACCATTTTGATTACTAGTGCAGTAGAAATGTAATAGATGATGCTAGTCAAATTACACAGCAGTGCTTTCCAAAGGCAAAAACCTCACAATTTTATCTAATTCCTATAACTATTTTAGCTTTTAAATTGGATGCCTAGGGTTATCAAAAAATATTTGAGAGGAATGGAATAATAATAGCTATTGGACAATGGACCTCCATCCTTAGAATTTTTAATTATTTTACCTCTATTAAATTAATATTCATTCATTAAAACTCTTTTTCAGCTTTTCTCCTTTACAAATATTCTCTTGTCTGTGTTCAATAAAATTATGACTTTAGACTTTAAAAATCCATGATGTTATATTCGAACTGAGGCTTTTTTTTTAATTTGACAAAACACACAATTCAAGTTAATATAAAAGGTAGGGGTTTTTTTTACCTTTTATATACAAATAAAAACATTCCTTAAATATGAGGTGTTAGTAAGTGAATAGAAGATATAAATATGTGAATATATATTTATATTTATACATATAAATGAATATATGAATATGGAACATCTCTAAAATTTTACCAGTGAATGTTCTGTTTAAGGAAATGTGTATTTCCTTAGTTCTTCAGTTTTTTCCTCTTTATTTTGTTTGGTGGGGGGAGGCAATCTTTGTAGGACTTAGTGCATAATGCCAGTATTACAATTTAGAACACTGATTTTACTGTATGTTAGTACTCAGGGATAATGAAGAAGCAAGGTGGAAGTTGCTATGGTTCCCAACTTAGTTCCAATTCTAAATCTAATTAAGTAAATGGCTAAGTCCTTTGTATTATATATCGGTTCACTGTGTGCTTCTGGAATTTCAATATAGCTTTATTCCACAGTAAATAGTAGTGTTTTTATCAGATGGAGGAATGGGGCAGGGAAGCATATGAAGGCCCTTGTATTACTTTGATCAGCCTTCATATAATCAGCATTGCGTGCCATCTGCCAGCTTTTTAGGTAGCTTTTGTTGCCCTTATAAATTCAGTGAGAAGTTAGTATTACTCTCTGTTCCCATTTTTCTATTTTACAATGGTAGGATCAAAGATTTAGAGCTAGGAAGAACCTTAGAGGTCATCAGATACAACCCCATCATTTTACAGAAGAGGAAGCTGAGGCCCAGAGAAGGGAAGTGATTTGCATGAAGTTCACAACAGAGTTAGGATTTGAATCCGTCACATCCAAATCACAGAAATTGTTTAATAACTAAGATTAAGGCTCCATAGAAAGAGATAAATTCAGACAGCTATTAAGAAAGAAAATAACAGCGCCTCATTCATTTTATAAACTACTTTCATATTATTGCATAATTTAAAAGTTATCTTAATGTATCCAGAGTTAAAGTTTAGAACATATATATTTATGTGGCATCCATTGATTTGACTGACATTTCTCTATTACTGTCTTACAGGTTATTCAGGGTCTCTATCATGTCTCCAATATTTTTACCTTATGTATATGTAGCTGAGATTGAATTAAAGGGCTTATTAATTAAAGGGAGTTGAACATTCCAGAGTGGAGGAATACGGCTATGAAAGCAGTTCAGGAACATTCATCTTTTTCTTCTTGTGAATTTTTATTAAATTTTTTGACTATGCAAAATCCATTGTATTTTTGTGTTTAAGCTCTGACATTTTGTTTTCAAAGATCAACCTTCTTTCTAAGTTACTTTCTCCTCTCCCTTCTCTCCCCTCACCCCCCCCACCCCAGCATTGAGAAAGCAAGCAAAACAAAACACCTGTTACAAGCATGTATATATTAAAGCAAAACAAAATTTATCATTGGCCATGTGTAAAAATGTATATCTCAATCTGTGCTCTGACTCCCGAGCCAAGTCCATCACCTCTCTGTCAGGGGCTGGCAGCATTTTTTATCATTACTTCTCAGGAATTGTTCTTGGTCATTGTGTTGAGCAGAGTTCCAAAGTTTTCTTTTCTTTTTTCAGTATTTTGTTTTAATCAGCCAACATCAACCTTCTCACCTCCTCCACCTCCAAACCATTGACAATACCCATTACCATGTCTAGGCAATTAAAACAAATTTCCACTTTGGCCAGGTCTTAAAAAAATATTTGTCTCATTCTTCATTCTGAGTCCTTCATCTCTGTATCAGGAGTTGGGTAGCATGTTTCATCATTAGTCCTCTGGAGTTCTGGTTGGTCATTATGCTGCTTAGAGTTCAACACAATAGTATTCCATTATATTTACATACTATAACTTGTTCATTCTTTCCCAGATTTGTGGGTACCACTTCTGATTGCCATTCTTTGCCACCTTAAAAAGAGTTATAAATATTTTAATATATTTTTAGAATTTATTTTGTTTAGGACTGATCATTCCCTTAATCTGTTCTCCTGCTAGCTTCCCTTCTCCTCTTTCCCTCATATTTCACCGTTGAGTGTACCCAGCCATGTGTTTGGATTTTCTTCCATATTTTGACCAGTTCAGATGAAAGTGTGGTTCAAGTGTCAGCCATGCCTTCCCCACCCTTTCCTCCTTGTATAGATGTCTACTCATACACTCTAATTATGAGTTAATTTTCCCCTAACCTTCCTTTCCCTTTCCCCCTTTCGTACCCCCAGTATGTTCCTTTTCTTTTCTCTCTTTTTATTTTTTTTCCTTGAGATCACCAAGACATAACAGAATCACTCCCAGGCCTTATCTAGTTAGATTCCTTCTATAATAGGTCTGATAATAATAGATGGGACACATGTATCATCTCCCTATATATCAATATTAAGCAATTTATCCTTGTTTGATAGAGGGCAACAGAACTATCATTTGGCATCTTTACCTGTCACAGTATTCCATTGTGGGTCAGGGGGTACCGCAGTATGAGTCTGAGACTTCTTCTTGCCCTGGTGCACAGCCATTCCCTGGGAGCTGAAGTACTTTTTGTATAGCATCCTTTGGCTTTACCCCATTTCCAGTGTCCAAAGGACTCACTGTGATTTTTTTCTTCATTTCTCCATCAGGATTCAATCTCATGCCTTTTCTAGATTTGTTAAAAAGTGTTTGTGGAGAAGATCTCACTGTATTGTTTCTTATCACTCTGCCATCTTAGTTCTGCCCTTCACTGAATCTTTGAAACAAATGTACTACATCTTTGGTCTCATACTAGGAAGTAGATTTGCCTTATAGATTTGAGGCAGTAATTTTTGTATTGAGCTTCCTTGGGATACTTTTTGATATTTCAGAAAAGTAAGATGCTTTAAATAGATGTTCCAGGAACTTCAGACATTACCATATCTTTAAATATTCTAATACTTTCAGTTATTATATATAGTTATTTGCAGGAAAGTCCTGGAAGAAAACTAACTTGGACAGTA